CAACACTTTCACTCAAAATGGAAGTAATCTCAACAATTATGAAACAAGAGATTCCTCGAAATCCAACTTTTCTTCACAAAAACATAGCTCGTAAAGAGATTTTTTAAACAAATTCTTGTTAAAGAAAATTATGTTGTACATTATGAACTTACTTTCATTGTGGATGGCTTAGGTTTGTGTAAGTACTATTTTTGATAAAAACGTAATATCTTCGAAGCTCATTTACTCATTTTAATTAAATATTTAAAAAATTAATTTTAAATGGTTGGATAAAACCATGTCGAGTAAAGGACTAAGCAAAGCCCTCACATAATGTATCAATACTTACTAGGCAACCTAAGTATCAACTATCATGAAATATGTCATTCCAAACTAATAACCAACTAGTTAAGACTTATTGTCTTATTACTTGATCATTTTCCCCTCCGTCTTTCCGAGCAAGCATAAGAGAATTAATCATATGTATCAGGCCATAGCATGGTTCGAAAAAATGCAATACCTGTTCACGTTCAAAAAGGTCGATAAGTTGACTTAGTCCAAGTTGAATGAGGAAAGCGGAGACTGTCAGCTTGGACAAAGCAGACGAAATGCCGATCGACTGGCTGAGAACACTTGGAAGAGCATTAGGTAAGCAAACAGCGGCCTCTTGGCCTTGCCCCTCAACGCGAGGTTCATTGTCACTTAAACCAGATTTAGGTGGAGTGGAAACTGTGACCGGATCACTGTCAGCTGACGTCATGGCGAGACCGATGGCAGCTGCAGAAGCGGGGTTTGCCAGACTACCAGAGAGAGGAAGGAGGGAGAGAGCACCGGGAGGCAAGTCCTTCGTTATTGTCTTCAAAGTAGATACTGATTGAGGAGTGGCATCCAGAAGCAAGGATTTAACATCATCAGCAGTTGCAAGGTCGTAGGGAGTTTGGTCTATGAAATTGTGATAGGCGAAAACAAAAATAAGTATACGATGAAACTAGTATAAAGGATCTCAAGTGATTGAGTCGAATTAATATTCGTCATCCAGAGGCATGATATTACCAGTTTTTAGGTTTGGACTGGGTTAGATTCACCTGAAATCCAGTGCTCATCAAAGAAGGATATAAGTTTCAGTGACTAAGTGCAAAAATCTTGCTCGGTTTGGTTCGGTTAAGCGAGACCAAATAATGTTTCTCTTTGTTTCTCGAACTAAGTAACTTATAACATTTCATCACATCTGAGCGGCGTTGACGCTTCGATTGCTGTCCCTACACGCATCTATTTTCACCACAAAGCTTTAGTGTAGATACTTCTTTTCCTTTGACTTTGATTGCTTGTTGTCTCATTCACTCTCTCTCCAATCAGGAGTCGAGTCTAAAGGA